AAGCGCAAGGACACCCGCATGCGAGCAGCCCTCACTGTCCAGAAGCGAGTGGCCATAGCCCTCTGGAAGCTTGCAACGCCGGACAGCTACCGGTCAGTCGCGAACCACTTTGGTGTGGGCAAATCTACCGTGGGGGTTGTTGTCATGCAAGTAGCCAAGGCAATCGTCAAGGTACTGCTCCCAAAGGTAGTGACCCTGGGAAACGCGCAGGTCATCATAGATGGCTTTGCCGCGATGGGATTCCCAAACTGCGGTGGGGCTATCGATGGGACTCACATCCCTATCCTGGGACCGGACCACCAGGCCAGCCAGTACATCAACCGAAAGGGCTACTTTTCAATGGTGCTGCAAGCACTGGTGGACCATCGGGGACGGTTTACAAACATCTACGTCGGATGGCCGGGCAAGGTTCATGACGCTCGCGTGTTCAGGAACTCTGGTCTGTTTAGACGGCTGCAGGAAGGTATTTACTTCCCAGACCACAAAATAACTCTTGGGGATGTGGAGATGCCTACAGTCATCCTCGGGGACCCAGCCTACCCGCTAATGCCCTGGCTCATGAAGCCCTATACTGGCGCCCTGGACACAGAAAAAGAACTGTTCAACTACCGTCTCAGCAAGTGCAGAATGGTGGTGGAGTGTGCTTTTGGCCGTCTCAAAGGGAGATGGAGAAGCTTACTCACTCGCTGTGATCTCAGTGAAACCAATATCCCCATCGTTATTGCAGCTTGCTGTGTGCTCCACAATCTGTGTGAGAGCAAGGGGGAGACCTTTATGGCGGGGTGGGAGCTAGAGGCAAATAGCCTGGCTGCTGATTACGTCCAGCCAGACAGCCGGGCCATTAGAAGATCCCAGCGGGACGCCCTGTGCATCCGGGAGGCTTTGAAAGCTAGGTTCCTGAGTGAGCAGGGCAACCAGTGACTTTTCAGTTTGTGGACAGAAAAGCTGAACCTGCCCCCGTTTCTTTACCCAGTTCATTTTCACTATCCTCTCCAGTTACATACCCCCTTCACCCCCTTCCCCTTCCCAAAAAATAAAATCATTTAGATTTTGTTAATGAACACCGTTGTCTGTATTGCTGTTTTCGCGGGAATATTTTAAACCTGGGACGCAGACTGTGGCGGGGGGCGGGTTTAGGGTTGTGATGCAAATGATGCTTCTAAACTCCCGGAATGACAGGCTCCGCACTGGTGGACTGGTTATTTCAATGGAGCCTGCCAGCACTCCTGGGGGGGACTGTGTGTATGTGTCGGCTATGTGACTTTCTGGCAGGGGGGGTAGGGTTACATATCCCCTGCTGCGTGGATCTGTGATCCATGATAAGGACCGCTGCATAAGATCTGTAACTGCCCTCCCCCGCCACAAAGTCACAGAGCAACCCCCCCCCCCAGAACATGAAAAACACCTCCCAGACTGACCAGGGTAACCAGTGACTGCACTGTGTATGTGTCCTGATGCTGGACCTGACACCGCCTCTGTACCCTGCTAAAGGTCACTGTCCTGTCCAATTACCAAGCCCCTTCCCCCCCTCCAGACAGACTCTCCCTCAAA